TAAGTGAAGTAGCCCAAGAATGGAAAAACAAGCACCACATGTACTCACCATCAAATTGGTATTAACTGATCAACACATAAGTGCACATATAAGAATAGTATCTATTGGATGTCGAGTAGTGGTGGGGGGGAGGAGGGGACGGGTATAATGCATACACAAAGAGTGCAACGCGCACCATCCGAGGGAGGGACACACTTGAAACTTGGACTTGACAGGGGGGGGCAAGGGCAACATACGTAACCTAAACATCTGTACCCCCATAATATGCTGAAATAAAAAAAAAAACAAAACATAATTTTAAAAACTAAAGAAGGTAAGAATAGTCTATTATAATTCCTGGGTATTTACATTGAGTTGCTCTTTCTTCATTCCTGATGTTTCAGATTTTTGTTTTCTCTATATCTCACTAATACTTGATATTAATATTATCTTTCTGTTTGAAGAGTTTTCTTTACTAATGCTGTTGGAGCTGATCTGCTGGCCTCAAATTCTGTTGGTTTCCTTCTTCTGAGATAGCCTAAAGGATATTTTTACTGAATACAGAATTCTGTGTTGATAGTTCTTTCCCCTTCTCCCCGCAACACTTGAAAAATGTTGTGCCACTACCTTCTGGCCTCCTTAGTTTCTGATGAGAAATGCACTGTCATTCAAATTATTCTTTCCCTGTAGACAATATGTTGTTTCTCTCTGGCTGTTTTCATGGTTTTTTCCTTTACCTTTAGTTTTCAGAAATTTGATTTGATTGATTCAGCATAGATTTCTTTGGGTTTATTCTGTTTGAGCTTTGCTCAGCTTCTTAAATCTGCAGGTTTATGTCTTTCACCAAATTTGAGGTATTTCCAGACAGCGTTCCTTCAACTATGTTTTCAGCCCTTCACTCTTTGCTCTCTTTCTGGGATTCTGATGATATGAATGGTAGATATTTTGTTACTGTCCCACAGGGCCCTGAGATTCTATTGATTCTTTTTGTTTCTGTCTTTTCTGTTGTTCAGATTGGATAATTTCTATTGGTCTATCATCAAGTTCAGTGGTTCTTTCCTCTGTTATCTCCATTCTACTCTTGAGCCTATTCAGCAAGGTTTTTATTTTGGTTATTTCATTTGGTTATTTGCTTATTTATTAAATATTTATTTGTTCTGAAGTTTTTATTTGGTTTATCTTTATATTCTCTCTTTGCTGAGATTGTATTTTTCCATTTGTTTCAAGGGTGTTCATAAATTGTTGTTGGAAAATTTTTATGAGAGTTGCTTTAAAATTCCCATCAGATTATTTTAATATCTGTGTAATCACAATGTTGGTGACTGTTGATTATCTTTTCTTGTTTAAGTTAATATTTTTCTGGCTCTTGGGTTATGTGGTAATTTGGGATTATATCTTTGACACTTTCTGTATTATGCTTTGAGCCTCTGGATCCTATTTAAATACCCTGTTTTAGTAGATTGACAATCTGTTTAGGTTTAGAATGAACATTCTATTTCAATTTTGTGGACTGTGGTTCAAATGTCAGCTTCGTTTTCAGAGCTCTAACAGGGCTCTTCCAGTTTGCCCAATTTCTCTGCTACCTAGGCCAATTTAGAACCTGGGCAATATTCCACCCATAGTGCAATTCTCAGTTTCCTTTGTTATATGTGTTTTGAGGAGAGCAGGTATTGTCAAAAGAGTTTACTCTGCAGGGCTACTTGCTTACCAATCTTTTGACTAGAGAGAGCAGGCTTCTCTTGGGGAATTTGGTGTCTGTACCCCTTGGTGTTTCCAGATTGTGGGCTACTTTAGCACCCAGGTTGACTGTACATAGGAGGCAAACAAACAAACAAACAAAAAACCTTCGGGGAACTTACTACCAAGTTGTCCCTTAAGTTCCAAAGTCCCTAGTTAGTCTGCCTTCCCTTTTCCACCTTTCATTTATTTTGCCCAGGGATTTTAGATGTAAATAGCAGGAAGATCAGGATATTATGCATTTGCTCCACCATAGAATGGGAAACCAACTATGATTCACTTTTGTATCACTCATGAAAATATACCATAATGCCTAGTGTACAATTGGCACTGAAGTATTTGTTACAAAAGAAAGGAGTGAGGTAGGAACATAAATAGGTCCATATCCCTAAATGTTAGCTCAGCATAACATAATAATTATGACTATGGCCTTTAAAGTCATCAATCAGTTTGCATTCTAGCTCCACCTACTTTCAGCATGAGTGTAGACAGGTCACTTAACTTCTCAGAACCTCAGGTTCCTATATATGAAATGATAACATCTACTTTATAGGGTAAGTAAAAACGAGATAATATATTTAATGCATTTCGCACAATGCTTGATAATAAACATTTAGTAAATGTAGTTTCTACTTACATTAGTAACAACAACATCAAATATCGCTATCTGTTTCTTATAGGAAACTCTGCTCTTAAAGACAAAGAAGATCAATTTGGGAGAACACCACTTATGTACTGTGTGTTGGCTGACAGATTGGATTGTGCAGATGCTCTCCTGAAGGCAGGAGCAGATGTTAATAAAACTGACCATAGCCAGAGAACAGCTCTCCATCTTGCAGCTCAAAAGGTGAGAAGTAAAATTACCTCAAAGGTAGGATTTTGTGTGCTATTAGTTACATTAGCGGTCCCCAACCTTTTTGGCACCAGGGAGCAGTTTCATGGAAGAAATTTTTCCAAGGGTTGAGGGGGTAGGTGGAGCTCAGGCTGCGATGCCAGCGATGGGGTGTTTGCCCTCCTGCTGCTCACCTCCTGCTGTGAAGCCCAGTTCCTAAGTTTCATGGAAGACAATTTTTCCACGGACTCATAAAAAAAGATTAAATGGGAAGCTTCAACATTTATTTGAAGACTTATTCACTTAAAAACTATTTTTCCTTCCATAAAATTTTGGTCTGTAAAATATATTTCCAGTGCCTGGCATTTTTCTTTTTGTTATTTTAGACTTCCATATTTTTGGAATAAAAAGCAATGAAAATGAGTTAGAATCAGCAGAAACTATTAGAGTTATTTTCCTTTAAAAAAATGTGAACCAGATATAGCTGATTAATTGAAGGGTTAGAAAAATACCTTTTCACTAGTTGAATATATAAAAAGGGGCTGACATTAAAATATACTACTGAATATGCTAGTTATACACTCTTATCTATTAAGTCTGTCAGGTTATTTCCAAAGTTACTTGTCTTGAATTTGCTTTTCATTATAATAATTTTTTTAAAATCTCCCCATTTTCAATCTCAGTTTTAACTAATGCTCAGGTATTTATAACCTTTCACTTAGGCTTGTCAGCTGATAAAATTATTCACTCAGGAGGGGTAACTCTATTTAACTTGTTATCATAAAAAAGTAAACAGTTCACATTGGGAATAGCCCCGAAATTAAGACTTTGGTATCCTTTAAATTTTTCATTATGATTGATTTAGGTGTAAAACTCAGCTTCAAAAATGTAGGTTGGAGAACCTAATTTAACATCAAGTAGATTATGTGGAAAAATGTGGATTTCAGTTGATAATCCAACAGTATAACATCTTTGCAGAGGTATAATATGACCAAAATGGTTGAAAGAAGCAGAGTGCACAACCATACATGTTAGCTGTAAATCTCTTCACAAGATGCAGTGCATTGTTCTTTTGTTTTTTGTTTCTACTTTGATTTTTTAATTATGCTTTTTCACCGTGTCAAAGTATAAACAGAACTGTGATTTAATGCCAGAATTTACATAGTTGATTTCATAAATAACAAGTTTCGTGTTCTTTCAAGTATCTGATAATTATGCATTTCCCCCCTTCCTCTGTATTGCTGTTTGTTTTTATATGCTTGCTAAAAGCAGTAACATGTCTTTAGGCTATATTAGCACTAGTGGAATTTCTAGAACAAGTGTGGTAACAATTCTTTAGTACTCTGCTCTGTCCAATCAAACCTGGGTATTATGTTTAGTTTCATGCTTCATACAAAGCACCATTATTAAGAAATCAGAGATAGTATAGACCAAGAAGGAATAAGATGGTGAATGATCTAGAAATAATTTTCAAAGAATAGTTGGAAATGATATGTCCAGGTCTGTAATACATCCTGCCTCTGAGCAGACACCAACACAAATTCTCTTTAGAGAAAATATCTTCACCTTAAACTTCCAGGATTCCCACATATTAAAATAAACCAAACATGATCTCACAATGAAAGATCATCGAACACGTAAGGAAGCAATCTACCATGAATGAGAGTCAGCAGAAACAACAGATTTAATCTATGAAAAGCATCAGATCTTGGCATCATTAGAGACACACTATAAAATAACCACTGATGGAATCTTTAAAGATATAAAAGAAGGAATCTGAAAAATGAGAAACCAATAAGAGACTTTCATGGCCAGGCATCAGTTCTGGCCATGACAGCTTATTTTGGACTAACCCGCCTGCCATAAACATCTACTACACTGTTGAAGACTTTGAGAACAATAACACCGGCAGGATCTAAGAGACTGCAGTCATTTAGAGAAGGGAAACATGTGATGTGAGCACCAGATTCATCTTGGCTTTTTCCTTGAAGGCATTTTCTAGATTGGAATGCAAAAAGATTACAACCCTAACTGGAAGCAGCAGTTGCTACTAGGCTGAGGAAACCAGGGTAAAATTTGGAAATACTGGATGGCTAGACTCTGAAGGGCAAAATCCTAGAGAGGAGGGAATTGCAGAGAATGAACCCAAAAACCTGGGTACAAATTCCTCACAAATCAGTAGCAGATTCCTAAACTATGCTTGTATAGGGCTCAGCTTTAAGAAACCCAGAAGTAAACAACTGCTGGGAGAGGAAAGAGCTAAACAGAGATTGTTTTTAAATTATCCTATGTTTTCTTTCACCTTCAAGTCTTTTAATATATAACAAACTGATTTTTGTATAGGGATCCATTCTCATTTTAAAATAAGTGGATAACTAATTTTCGCAGCACAACATAGCTCATTAAGTTTTAGCCATTTAGTATCTGCTGTGTGCCAGTGCCAGGCTTTTGTACTGCATGTGCCCTGTGCATTTTTTTAAATGGAAGATCCTGAATACTAGGGAGCCATTTAGGAAATTTGAAAATAAAAGTTACCTGATCAAAGTATTTAGGGGGACTAATATGGCAACCAAAGCTACTTTGGAAGAGGTAGAGAGTGGTGGTACATAGAAAGCTAACATAATTCAGGTCAATAAAGGGAAAGAGTTGGATCCAGGAGATATATTGTGGAGGTAGAAATGTTCATTCAGCAAGCATTTGCCAAATTTCTACTATGTGGTCATGATTATACAACTAGAGAGAATATGAAAAATGAATCACGTATGTCTGCTATAGATCAGTATGTTTCCTGATTAAACTTCGTTTCCCTTTGTTTAGTGAACCTTTCTGATATATTAGATATTAAATATTCTTTTCAAGTATTGTCTATCCCACTTAATTCTGGTATCTGTGAATGTAGATGTGTGTTATTTATGTGATAATCAACATTCCTGTATTAAATATATGTGCATGCATTCATTCCTTCAACATATTAAAACTATTATGTAAAAGGTACTGTGTTAGACCTTGGAATACAAAGATGAAAGAGATGATTATTGCTATTAAGTTGCTTACAAAGATCATGGGTGAGGACATGAAATGATAATTAAAGCTGGCTCATTTGCCTTACAATATATAAATGTTTTATAAAATATCAACAGCTATACTATGTAAATAGTAATTGTTATGATTGACCTGAGAAGATCGACCACTCTTGTATGTTATTTGTTATGTTTTGAAGTTTTTTTTGTGTGATAGTGAACTATCCTGTGTTATCTTTTCTTAGGTTTATTAGCAGGAAAAACTCATATTCCCTCAGCATTTTGTTCCTATCTCTGCTAGAGCCCCGTTGCTTTGTATTATAATTATTGCTTACTTGTCTCTTTTCCACTAGATTGGATCCAGGCAAGAATTTTGTTTTATTTATTTTTGAATCCCTCCGAATCTAGCACAGTATCTGACATGTCTTGGTTGAATGAATTTTATGTTACTTATATAGAAAGTTGTTATTATTACAAATTCTAGACCTTTTGTTTATTAGAAACATTTATCCAGTTTGTGGAAAAACTTATTGAACTGTGCTGCTTGGCTTAGTTATTTTGACACATACTCACTTCTCTGAAAACAAATTGTTGTTTGTCCAAGCAGCTGAAGAAATGATACCCATGAGAATAAAATTAATCTCAATATAATGAACATCTGCACCTAATTTGTTTTTCATTTAGTATCCTCAGTTTAATCCAAGAAAGCAATCAGTCATACCTTTTCTGGGCTCCTCACAAAAGATATCTCATTGTTAGAAATGTTTTGCTCCAGGGAGGCTACTATTTCTCTGACTTCTACGGATACATTTATTTGTTAGTAAGGATAAAAAAGCTTTAGAAATATTTCTAAGTGTAATCATTATGCATTTTTAATCTTCCAGGAGGTTATTCATTTGGCTTCAAGAAGATTAAGACTATCCACTTTGAAAAATTATATCATCTTAAACACAAAAATTAAAGAACCTTTGGGTTATGGCTATACTGTGCTGAATTTTTTTTTATGGCTACACTGTGAATTTTTTTTTAAATCCACAAACAATTCTCAATCTATGAAAACTGAATATTAATTTTCAGTTTTCCAGATATGCTGTTTCCATGTTAATGGCTTACAAAAAGTAACGGAGAAGGATAAAATACCTCTGAAACTTTTCAGGAAAACTTATACTAACTAACACTATTAGGTTTCCTTATTTTGCACATGCACACACGAACACACCAAACAATCCACTCCTCAGTCCCCTTCAACTCTCTGTTACTATATTCCTCCTCAGTACATATATACCTCTACCATAACTCATTACCACAGTTTATTGGAGATTTTATTTATCTATATCTCTAGTTTTACCCCCAGTAAAACTATTCAAGGGCAGAGGCCATGTCTTACTTGATTTTATAGTTACAGTCCTAGCACAGCTCCTGCCACTTCATTAAAACAGTATTTGTTTAATGAATACATGAATGGATGAATCAGTGATGTGATTATCAGATAAATTTATTATGAAGGGTATAGACTTCAAAACTGTTGAAGTTTAAATTAATAGTTATATTTATTTCTTTTCATTATCCACTCCCCCCTTTACAATTTTGTAAGCAAGGATTTTACAAGACTTTCTGTGAGCTTAATTTCTTGACAAATAACACTCTTGTGTATCTTAATTTCGTCATCTATGAAATGGGATAATACTTCTCCCTATTTTCTATATAGGAATGATGATGAATCCCAAGATATATACACACGTATATATATAAAGCATTTGTTTGTCGAAGTATACTCTCAAGGAATATGTTATCAATATTATTGCTATTAGTCATACTACAATATGGGTGGAAATATCAAATTACTGTTTAGGGATCAGTAGATGTCAGAGATAGAAAGGCACTCTAGGATCCTATATGATTGATTTGTCATTCAATGAGGAAAACTCTACTTCTTCCGATTCTTTTCTCCTAAATCACTGTATTCATTATTCTCTTTGCATGTGCCTGAAACGT